TGAGGCAAAGCTCTGCTGATTTCTTTCATCCAATCATGTGCAAGCAAAAATGTTATTTTCTTATTTTCCTTGCATGTTCCCCTCAGATCTAGAGTAACTTGGAGTGCACTTGCAGTGCACATCCTAATTGCCTTTAGTAAATTAACCCAATAGTGTCCATATGGGGCTTTATCAAGTACAGTTATTGTCAGGGATCTCCTCGATCCCCGCCGCGATGGTCCCGGCGCAGGCGCAGTGCGCCGCCCTGTGCAGGGACATGGGCACTAGGCCCGGGCCGGCCGTGGCGTTCGAGTTCGCGCATGCGCAGTAGAAGCCGCGGCCGCCCGCTGGGCACCAATGGCAACGCAGGGCGGGATATTTAAATGGCCCTGAGCTGTCATTCAGTGCCTTCTGGTCTTTCCTGCATCCTGTGAATCTGCGAACCTGTGCCCTGTGAGTTATTGACCCGGATTGTACCTGACCTTGCTAATTTCTCCTGTCCTGACCCTTGCTTTGCCTGATCTCTCTCCTGGATGCCGCCTATTGGATTTGACCTGCTGTTGCTGACCTGGCGTGTGACCCGACCATTCTCTGCCCGCTGCCTTGTACCTTACGTCCTCTCTGTTACCGACCCGGCCCGTCTGACCTTGCTCATCCATCCGTCCATCCCTCGCAGTGGGGTCTTCTGACCTCCTCATATCAGACTCTTACCCGTGGGAGCCCTTGGCGCATACCACTACCACTGACGGACGTACCCAGTAGCCACGACCTGGTATCGGGGGGCTCCAAGTCCATCCCCACCATCAGGGGCCCTGTTGAACAAGCACCCTGGGACTTCCATGCGCTGGGGACGCCTATTCAGTGGAGTGCTAGTGGTACTGCCAGGCGGTCCCTTACAGTTATACACACAATATATCCCTATCCCTTAAAGGCAGTATTTGTGTTTGAAATGGAATTGCTTCAATGATACAGATTTTAAAATGGAAACTAATGCCCTTAGAGTAAGACTATAAGAATGAGGTTATAGCCAGAAGACGCTTAAAATGACCAATCAAAAAGCTAAGCAGGAGTCCTGTACTAATCTGATTTTCAAAAATAAATGTACGAAGAGGCAGGAGAGGTCTCAGGATACCACTAAACTAATTCTACAGTACTGTAGGCAGGAACAGCAAATTAGAAACATAATAGACAAGTATTGGTATATATTTAGGGCTAAATGCATTCTATAAGAAAAATAGATTGATTTGGGACACCCTGGTCCAGAAAAGTCAATCCCTGCCCCCATTATGCTTGAGGAACATGCAAATACTGCAAATAGATTTTGCAGGGCAAACAATATGTTCTGCCTAATAAAAAAGTACATGAAGCTAAATACTATGTTAATTGCCAGACAACTGGTGTAGTTTAGATGTTGGTTTGTAATTGTGGCAGTTTTTATATTGGGAAAACAAAACACTGTTTTTGGCAGAGAATTTATGACCATGTCTCTGCCGTTAAGTCTGGAAATATTTCCTCCTCTACAGGATAACACAGAGCTTGGTAACATAATGAGGATTCAAGATGTGTAAACATTTTTGCTCTTGAATGGGTACATCCTTATCTATGTGGTGTACACTGGGATCACCCTATACTATAAAAATAACCTAGATAGATATGCCAGCTCCAGGCCACAGTGGCCGCTTGATTAAATGATACCTTGATTTTTAAACCTTTTTTAAAGAATGCCAATACTTTGATGACTCCCTGACTAATCTAATTTGAGTAAATGTAGGGAGTATGTATGGCCTGTGATCTTCCTCTCCTATTGTTCTTGTTCCTGTTTTTTTTATTTTTATTGATATTTTCTGTAATTCTCTGTATGTATTTATGCATAAGATATATTTGGCTATTTATTCACAATAATTGCGTAGTATTTTGTTGTTTATATTTTTGGAATGATGATAATATTATGTTTTAACTCAATAATTACTTAATTACTTTTTTTTTAACAGGGGGACTTTACTCAAGGGAGTGGTTTATTCAACTTTTTTTCAATCTAGCTCACCAGTGGATACATCATGTTCAGCCTATTGGTCTATCAGTTGCCAGGTACCATTGTCACCATTTTGCCCGATGTAGCAGGTGCTTATGATTATGGTGGGCCTTTATAAAGGAGGTATGCCCACATCTCTCAGAGGCTACATTGTTTGGAGGCAAGCTGTATTTGCAAACTGGTGGGACAGCCCTGATATGCAGAATGAAGGACTCTGTTTTTTATTAATATAAATGAGTGCATGTGCCTATCATCATAGATAATTTATTTGTAAAAGGTTAATATTAATTTTATTGATACATAGTGGACCTACTACCATTGTCTGATTGTATTGCTGTCTGTAGCACAAGGCTGGGCCATCCCACTAATTGACTGTACATATAGGACCAAAAAGAGGTATAAATACTTAGGATTCTCCAAAAAAACTACATACTGTATGAAAGACCATGTTAAATTACATAATTGGGAGCATACCAGAATGTGAAAACGGATCTCTTTAAATATACCAAGCCCTCTGGATGTTCAGTTTTAAAAAACAAAAAATATATTAAAAAAACACCAATAAATACTCCAAAGAAGAGAGGGACAAATTTAATTCCTTCTACACTTACTAACACCAAGTGTTCTGATAGATATGATTAAGAGATTTGTTCAGCTTTAAGTTTGTGAGCCAACAATTAGTGAGCTTTGTGACCCTATGTCATTAAATTTGTAGCTGTTGAATTTGAGCCCTAATACGGATTACATGTTTGATATTTTGTTTTTGATATTGTTTGATATTTAAAAGAGAGGGCCTCTGTGACATTAGTTTCCAAGAGTATAAGTTTGGCAGTGAGTTGAGTCTTCTCTCTTTAGGTGTCTTTTTTAAGTTCAGAGGATACAGCAATGCAATTTCTTTTAATTACATCCTCCCACAAGATGTGAAAGAGAAAAAGAGTTGAAAATATTGGTGTAAATTTCCTTCCATTTGAGATTTGGTTAAAGTGTTACTAAAACCCTGGACCCTGCATTCACTATATCTGGTCTCCCACAGTACACCAAACATGGAAGTGCAATTATTTTTGTAAATATAAACTGCTAAATACTTTTTCTCATCAGCAGTTAGAACGGTCTTATAATTCTATCAGTGTCCAGCAGAACGCTGGTTAAAGCTTGTAGGAGTTTTCATTCTGCTCTAGGAGGATGCAGAATCCCTGACCTCTGTCTGAACAGTGCTGATTGGCCCTGTGCTGATCACATGCACTCTCCCAAGAAAAAAAAAAACCTCTCAAGCAATACATACCAAACTGAGCATGTGCAGAGTGGCTCCACACAATGTGTCTTATCAGGAGATAAGAGGGGGACACTGGAAGAAGGGGAGGATCAGAGGAGTAAGGATCAAACAGCCTTTTTACACAATGCAGTGGATTAACCCCTTAGGTTCTGCAGTGAGTATAACAAGCATGCTTTACTGCATATACAGACTGATTCTACTGTTGTGGGTTTAGTAACACTTTAAGTCATTCTTGAGAAGCCATTCATTAGGTTTCCAACTAGTCTATTTGGGAAGGGGGGAGGAGATTTGCACACTAAGTAAAGTAGGGGCGTAACCTTACCATGTTATAGATGTGAGGTCAGAGGAAACAGCATTTTGAAGAACAGGGAGATTAGTGAGAAAACAATCTGTTCTGGTGTAGGTCTTTTGTACCTTGGATTAAAAATTATATCTCTTTTTTGAAGGTTTAAGTGACCTCCATAAATCATACAGAAAGTGTTAATTAAGGAGTGATTGAAATTTCAAGTGCAAGAAGCATTTCTCTCTGTTTACCTTCTAAAATCTCTTTAAATCAAAAGGTAGGTATGAAAGAATGATAAAACCTTACTTAAAGTGGAGCTCCACCCAAAAGGGGAAGTTCCGCTTTAAGGACTGGTCCCCTGCTCCCCATTAAGAATTGGCACCTTTGGGGAGCAGGAGGGGGTAAGCAGGTACCCGAAAGAAGAAAGAAGACTATGGGACCATTCAGAAAGCACAGCACTACTCGCACATGTGCAGTGAGCACCCGGCTGTGAAGCCACAAGCTGTCACAGCCGGGTGACCACACTGGAGATGCCGGCGCCAGAAACTGGCTCCTGGGGGGACACCGCGGGATCGAGGGACAGGTAAGTGTCTGTTTTTTAAAAGTCAGCAGCTACAGTTAGAATAGAATAATGCATCTACCCTCTTGGTCTAATAAATTAGTGTGAGGGATAAAGGGTTTTTAAAATGTTCATAAAAATTGCCATACCTGTCTTTTCCCCAGAATAAGAGGTAGCTGAGGAGAAAACCAGATAATACTTACAATTAAAGTTAACGTTACTCTGAGGGAAGAAATGGATCTCTTGTAGTAAATCCACATCCGGTTCACGAGCTCTAATTTCTCTTACAGTTAAAACCTCTTTAGTATTATAGTTTAGTCCCTTATCATTAAGGGAAATAAATGAAATGTGAAAAAAAATTTTTTTACATGATGCCATTATGTATTGGTTGAAAAAAAGATATAGCATATGGAAGATGTATAAATTTAGGCTTACTTAAAAAGACTGGGTATTCAGAAGTTGCCTATCTCACTACCCAATAGAAGATAAAGATGTCTGGCAGCGAGCGGCATGAATAGGACCAAGAAGAAGGAGGAAGGGGAATCGATTGAAAGAGTAGAGAAGAACACAGAGAGACTTTCCATGCATTACAATCAATAACATGAAAAGAAAAGCTTGAACCTACTTTACAGTCTATAACATGAAAAGAAAAGTGAACATACAGCTCAAATGAGCTAAAATGTACCAATGAAGTTCAGCAGAGGTTCTATGTTGTTCCAACCACTCAATACCAGAGCAAATGGAAAAATATCATATTACCAATAAACTGTCAGTATCCAATGTGGGGAGTTTGGGTAGTGGAAACACAATCTCTCTTGCCTACCACCTGCTTTAACCTCCTTGGCGGTATTCCCGAGTGTAGCTCGGGGTAAAGTTTCAGTACCAAAAGCGGCAACCCCGAGCTACACTCGGGCTTACCATGCGGCGTTGCTCAGGGATTCCCTGCAGCGCTTACCTTGTCCTTCGCTCCCACGATGCTTCCCCTGCAGCGTCCCTGGCCATCTCCTCCGGCCGATGCCGGCATCCGGCTTCCGTGTTCCGGTCCCTATGAGCGTTGGGACGTACGGGGGCCGGAACCGTCGGCAAATTAAAAAATTAAAAAAAATTTAATTTTCTAATAAATTAAAATAACATTGTATCCTGCGCTCCCACAATGTCCCTCTTGCAGTGTCCCCTGCAATGTCCTCCAGCCGATGCCAGCATCTCTCTTCTGGGTTCCGTTCCCTGCGACGTTAGGACGTACAGGGACGGAACTGGCGGGAAATTTGAAAGTTGTAAGAGTGACATTCACTAAATTCACTAAAATCACATAGTAAAACATTACTGTTTCAAACCATTTCACATACATTTTGACCCTAATGCTTTGTCCTGTGCCCTGCCTGCATTTTGACTGTTCTTTCTGCCTGGAAACTTAGAAAAGTCCATGGCATCCAAAAAGTGTCCCTTTAGGTCAAAAGTGGTTTTAGACCAGCTAGAGATCAGCGATAGTAAATCAGAACCACTTACAGAATTGAGTGATAATGATTTGTGGGGAAATTCGTCATCAGACACTGAAAACGATTTTGCGACTTTGCTCAGTGATGTGCTTGGCGCTATATTTCAAATTTCAGTGTTTTTGGTTTGATTATATTATTGAAATAAATTTTATTATTATTATATTATTATTTTTTTATGATTATTTATTAAATTATAATTTATGATTTTGTGTTTCAAGTTTAATTCTACCCGGAATGTTTACTAGACTCTTGTTCGGACAGAATTCAGTGAGTTATTCCTAAAAATTACAGGTCTACAATAAAAAAACTACATATTTCCATGCAAAAAAATGTACCGCTTTCAGCACAGAAATATGGACATAATCATACCGCTAGGGAGGTTAAAGCATGTAGCAAAAAAGGTGTAAAAATGCAGAAGGGGATGGGGGTAAAAGGAAAAACATACCTATAGAGACCACAGTATGGTATTTTAGAATACAGTCTAGTAATACATATATAAAAAATTGTACTGGTAACAAAAAATGACTTCACTATGATCAAAGTAGACTCCAGGGCTGCATAAAAAAAACCCATCACAACACCTAACGTAAATAGGTTATAACACTTTTAACCATTTCATAGGCAGATATCACCAAAGGTAATCTGCTAGATAGAGGTCAGGAAAACCAATACTCACTCAGCATGAGAGGGCTCAAAACAAAATGAGAAAAAGCCCCAAAAGGGTAAGATAGAAAGTAATTTCTTCTGTGAATTTGAAAATATTTCATAATTAGTGGAGGTAACTTTTTGCCAGAGGGGAGGCTCCAGAGGAGGTGTTGGAAGAAGTTTCCATACTGAAAGTTAAAGGCAGGTGGTGTCCAAATCTCTACAAAAATATGGAGGTCTTCTGAAACTTTAAGAAATTCAGATTTTTCTGTCTCTTCTTGCAGTTACACTGAAGAGAAATCCACAGCAAGATGAGATATTGGCTTCGCTGAGAACTGTCTAAAGTGATTTCATCAGTCTCAGTCTCACTGTTGTCACAGTGTAAGCCAGGAGAGATCTGAGTCACAGTCAAACTCTGTGTTGTGCATATTATAAGCTTTGAACATTGGGTCCTCTTTGGGGGAATATGATGGAACACGACAGATAATATCATGTGGTAAAGAAGATAGTTCCTTCAGACTCAGCAGCACTCCATGACTCCTATCTATTTCAATTTTGTGTGAAGAGGGTTCACCTAGTATATTGGTAAAAATAGCTGCAAAGCTTCCTTCAAGTCTTCTAATTTGTTTGCTTCTGGCAGGCCTTTAATTCTAATATTGTTTCTATATCCCCTTTTATCAAGACCATCTAAGTGACATTGCATGTCACTGATTGTAGACTTTTGTGCAGAATGGAGCAGATATGATTCATTGAAACATTTGAAGCTCATCCTCTATTGTTTCAACACAATTGGTGAAAGTTTGGAAGTCTTCATGCACTGCTTTGTTTTCAAAGCTACATGTGCCATGGACTACCAGGACCAAAAAAAGACTGAAATCCTTTTTGGTCAGTATAAACTTAATACATTATTTCCATGATACAGGTTCATATGTATCAGTGTTGCATGCTGTTGCTGGAGAAGAAGAAGTTATTTGTATTTGTTAAATGACTGGGTTTCTATTAAAGGGCCTTTAGATTTCAGCTCCAACTGGTGCAAAAGTGTTTAATTTCCCAAGGGTAATGCCATAGCTCCACTGATGTCTCTGAATGATGAACAGTTGGTCACACATGCTCAGGGGCTGTAGCTGAGTCACTGTGTGTGGAGATCAGATGAACATGTGTGTAGTATGGCCTGATATGTTAAACTCTCTAGATCTGGCTGCCTTTTGGGGCTTAGCAGATTGAAGAGAGGGACGCCCCCTATGTAGTGTAGACTCAGGGATATCTAAAGTCTGTGATATAGGTCACAGCTGTGGCTCACCTGGAAATCCCAAGTTTTCATCTGGATGCTGTGATCCCCTTGTCATCTGCTGTTTTGGAGAGAGTGCACAGGGCCAGGGATGGACTGACCATTTGGAAACTTGGGCACTGCCCGAGGGCCCGGGGTCAGTAGGGGGCCCCATGAGATGCCCCTGGTACCTTTTTCATAGGCTTCTTTGAGTTTGGGCAAGGACACAGGGACCCCATGATCCCCTATTGCCCGGGGGCCCCATGAGTTGTCAGTCCGCCCCTGCACAGGGCACAGAAGAGGAGCTGTAGGTGCAGGATCAGCCACTGTGCTGGGAACTGGAGCAGAGTCCCGTGCAGAGATTTCCTGTATTATGTCCCCCAGAGACATCAGCAGTAAAAGTGTTGGGGAAGCATTTGAGGAGACTGCATAGCAGAGGTAGGTGAGACAGGGGCTTCCACCATGGAAAGTACAGAAGGAGTTCTGTAAGGTTGTGACTGGCTGCTGAGCGGTTAGCGTGGAAGGCTGTGGAGAGCAAGAGGAGGCATTCAATTCCATTTTGTCTTGGGGGATGAGTGCTGTGTCCACAGAATCAAAGTAATTTGAAGTTTTAGTGGGTTGGCACCTTTTGAGTTTTCACATATGGAGAGCAGAAATGCTTTATACAAGTTTTAAAAAACAGGTAGAAGATTGAGCTGCTGGAAAATGTGTGTGCTCAGCTTGGCATTTAGACATACCCCAGCACATGAATCTTTATGCAATGTTTTATAGTTTTGACTTAAAAAAAAAACACTTATTCTTTTATGCACTGTGTATATGTGTTATGTTTGAAGCTGTAGTACAAAATGCTACAAAAAGTATCTGATATTCCTCAGGCATTTGTTCAAGTATGACTGCCATTGGCAACTTATCCATTAAAGTTTTGGATATAGCTGGGAAAGATTAAAATCATTATTCTATTTTTATTGCTATCTGGGGCTCTTTTAGAGAGATTTCCCCTAAAGTATTGTCGTGGTGAAATAGTTCTACCAAACAGGAAGTGAGGGAAAATCTGCAGCAGGAACAGAGAAAACATAAAAAAAATGACAGAGATTGTAGCTTACCTCTACAGCACCTAAGAAAGTATATACTGTATCTATTTGTGCTACTGTTTTAGAATGTCTCAAGGGCCATTTATACTTCTCTGTTCCTGTGTGTTGATTAAATGCAAATTAATTAACCATCTTTTCTGATATAGTACATCACAAGAAACAGTGGTACACTGTGACATGTGTGCATAGGAGCTGTAATGCCTTAGTGTGTTAATGCCATTTAAACTGAAAGGCACTTCAATTTGCTACACACGTAAAATGTGTTAACATACATTGTAGTAATGCACGCTAAGTGGAGTTTTGACTCCCACATTTTCTGTCTAGTGAACCATTGCCTTCGTGACAGTGAGGGGAAATTAGTCTAGTGGAGTCATTGATAGCAGTAAAAACTTGTCAGGGGTTCTAATCTTTTCCCACTCTGTCCAAAACACATTTCCACTATAAGTCATAGGTATGTTGATGTGGCTTTCTGAACACTAATGGATTAGGAAGTGCAGCTTAATATTTCAGTGGTGGAATCTCTTTCAGGAACTGTATGCACAAGATACCTGAAGAAATAACCACTTAAAAGAAAATAAAAATATGCGGGCAGTCTATTTAAGTAGGGGCCTGTCTCAGGTGTAGCATCCCTTAATCACTGTGCTCAAGTCATAGTGAGTCTTAGCATCTTGAAATATACAAGTTGAAAATTGTAGACCTTTTAAACCAAGCAAATATTTTTGTTCTTTAATAATAAGATTTGTTATTACGTTATTTTATAATAAAATGGCTGCTATGGTATTTATATACCAAAATAATTTTGTGTGGTCCATTTGCGTGATGCAGTTTTGGGTAAATGTGGTGATGGGTTGTAGTTTTGGTATAGCTTCATCTACAATACACTAGTTATGCACAATTCAGTGGATTGTTATTTAATTTGCTTCTAAATGGAAGAAACACGTGAATCTTAGTTCAGAGCTCCCATATAAGAAATTCTAACACTGAAAATATTCTGTGAATAATTTTAAGCAAATTTTATTTTAGTAGAGTTTTTGAGTGAAGAGACATGCTCATCTACCTCCTTGATCAGAATTCATTGTGCATCAGGCATCATGTACTGAACTATCATTATGAATGCAGGGATAAATGCAACCGACAGCTAGGATTCTACATCCAAGATCAAAAACTACACACATTAGCTTAGCTTACAGGGAAGAAAAATAGACAGATACAATTCCCCCATGAAATTGCTTATACTTTCAGAACATATTATTCTGAACTCTATAATATCAAAAATAAATTTGAAAATCTCCAGTGAGAGGAGCTAGACAGTAAAATCAAGCCTATTGCAAAAATGTGTGTGTCTTTCTTTCCACTGGAGACCATATTATATAAGATACTCCACTTTCCAAAAAGGACTACTTATTGCCATAAGTTTCATAAAGGTCAGCAAAAGACCAAGACCCAGTTGGTTCTTTTCTAGATTCTACAAATATTTTAAACCAATCTCTCCACATCCAATGCTAATGTTTTCAACATCTATCATTATCTGTTGAAACTCCCGTCTCTGCAATACTTTGGAGGCACATACCTCTTGTCTCACTGAGAATGAAAATCATATTCTAGATCTAAAACTCATACATAAATACTTATGAGCAAACCAAGCAAAGTTCAATTTATTGATTTTCACTGAACAAATTAAAAAAACTGCAAACCGCAGGGTCGTTGGTCACTGCTATGGAGGACAAAGTGCCAAAACAAAACAGTTTTGAGCGGGTCATATTTAAATGCTGAAAAGGCAAGATTAAAAATACAGAATTTCTTTAAATAACTTGCTTGGGAACAGGGTTGTCCCCGATCTCCCCTTCTATTCGTGCTAGTCATTGAACACTTAGCTCAAGCCATCAGACATAATGACACTATAGTAGGTATTCCTACTTCGTCTACTCACTATAAACTTTCCTTGTACACCGACAATTTGCTCCTATATATTCAGCATCCACACACAAGCTTACCCTCCCTAATCCAAAAATTCTAAAGATTTGGGGACCTCTCTAACTTTAAACTTAATATCTC